GTGTGATGTTATTCAAACCCTATAACAGGAAGTGCCTGAACAAGGACCTCCATGGCAGTTTCACCCTGTGTTATACACTGAGTGGCCAGATTATTATGACCGCCTGACGTTTGTAGGCAAATTAGCTATAATTTGGCGCTGAAGTTGCTAGAGGGCCAGACCATTATAAATAGGGAAGCGGGTTGGTTACCACGACAGTAGAAGTGATTTGTTTCTGAAGATACGGGGAAACAACGCCATTTAACAGCCTTTGAACGTGGGATGATTGTTGGCGCTCGGAGCCATGGAGCGAGTATCAGCAAAACAGCAGAATTCGTTAAATGTTCAAGAGCAGATGTTGTCAAAGTTTTGAAAGACCGGACTGTCAGCCGAAAATCTGGGTCTGAATTGTGGCCGTCAGCGACTAGTCAATGTTAGGGCAGAACGGGGGAGTGGCAAGACTGGTACAAGACAACAGAAGGGCAACAGTGCCGTGTCAGATTCCTCGCATCACCTTTCACCATCTCGTGGAGTCACGAGGCGGCCCAACGAAGTACTGACGGGGGGGGTCATAATAATCTGGCCACTCAGTGTATGTGGGGGATGTCTGACCAGAGAGAGGGCGTATGTGAATGAAAGATTCCGATTTAGAAATATAACGATTTGCTTCTGAGGTGACATCAGCATAGGAAAGTTTATTGTGGGTTTTAGCGATCGGGTTGGTTTTATTTTCCTCTGTGGAATCCATAGGCATAAAAAGGTGACATATCCTCGTGTGACACTTTACTGCTGTAGACAATCATTACAAGTTCATTTAACTTTAATGTCAGCTAATAATTCATTTGGTGGCATCATCACTGCTGTACAGGAGGCAAGGCATGCGGAAATAGATGGCGGACTTTGGAATGAACATAAGTGGAGTCTTATCAAGAATATTCTCTGCTGTGTTACTCGTATACATGATGCCTCTGGGACTTCATAATACAAATGTTACAGTTTAACGTGGAACTGTAACCAAACATATATACTTTAAAGTGAATCTAAAGCCATGTTTTTTTTTAACTTAGCTAGTGTAGGAAATGGTTCAAACCACTGTCAGGTGAGTGAGCTGTCAGGTGCCGGTGAGTTGTCACCGGCATGGAAATAGAGGGAAAATCTTTTTTTTTTTCTGTCACAACCATATGGGATTTCCCTCACTTTAGAGAAATTCAGTCTCACTTCCACAGCAGGGGTGGACCTCTTGCCGGTGCAGACCCTCCGCATGTGCCCCTGATGAGACCCTCTGCGTGTGCACCAGCTGAGATCCACCACAGTTGCCCCTGGTGAGACCCTCCGCATGTACCCCTGGTGAGACCCTCCGTGGACCTGTAACCAAAAAATATTTTTAAAGTCCATCTAAAGCCATTTTTTAAAATCAGTTTAGAGCAGGAAAGGGCTACACCCCTTGCCAGGTTTTTATTGCGGTCCCCAGTGGGGAAATCACCATTTTTATTTCTATGGGAAAATCCAAAACTTTTACAGGGTTATTCACAAAAGGGTGAAGAGTTTGGAGAAGGCCGGAGAAGGGAACAATCTAGGACAACATCGCTGACCTGGAAAGTGAGCTGAATTGGAGAATTTTTCCATATCAGCTATTTTGTTCTAGATTTTTCACTTCTCCAAACTATTCACACTTTAGTGAATAGAAGTGTAAGCTGTCACCACAACAGGAATAGAGGGAACATCTTCCAATGGGGACAACTGTTTAAGAGGGGAAAAAGGGGAGAGATTCCCTCTCATCTCCGGTTGTGTCTCACTACAGTGCTCTGTGCTGGCAGAGCTGAGTAATGGCCACACCCCTCAACCTAAGTGTCCTCACACAGGCTTGTGTTGCAGAAAAAGAGAGGAGTCAAGTCAGACCAGAGAGGGGGATGTCTGACCAGAGAATTGGATGTTTGACCAGAGAGGAAGCTTGTCAGACCAGAAAGGGGGCGTATCAGACCAGGGAGGACGTGTGTCAGACCAGAGGGGAGGGATGTCTGACCAAAGAGGAGGAGTGTCAGAACTGAGAGTGGGGATGCCTGACCAGAGGGTAGGGATGTCTAACCAGAGAGGAGGAGTGCCACAACTGAGAGTGGGGATGTCTGACCAGAGAGGAGGTGTGTCTGATCAGAGAGGGGGGGCGGTTCCGACCAGAAATAAGGTGTCAGATCAGACAGGGGGTGTGTCTGACCAGAGAGGAGGCATGTCAGACCAGCTCATTTACTGTGCTGATTACTGAGTGTACTGGGTCCAACTCTGGTGCTTATAAGATTACACAATCATATTAGACTCTGCACAATGCTGTACCAGGAACTTGGATTTAAATGGGGTAAGTACAAGTCTGTCCTTGTCTGTTCAGGAACCCTTCTTCCTTCTATCCAAAAAAAGTGAAGTTTCACTGAGTTAAACTGAGACAATTGTGTACTCCTGGACATGACAGGTAGGGATGCACCGATACTGATACTAGTATCGATATCGGTGCCGATACCGAGTATTTGGGGTTGGTACTCATACTCGCCCAAATGCTCCGATGCCTAGCCAGATACTTCCTGTATCAGGAAGCCGGGCAGCGTCACTTGTGATGAGAGAGCATGGAGCCGACTTCCCGGCCAATCAGGAAGCCGGGCAGCGTGTAATGACTCGCTGCCCGGCTTCCCAATTGGTTGGGAAGCTGGCCGATCAGGAAGACGGGCGCCGTGTAATGACGCAGCGCCCCGGCATTCTGATTGGCCGGGAAGCCGGCTTCATGCTCCCTCGTCATCTCATGACGAGGGAGCATGGAGCCGGCCTCCAGGCCAATCAGAAAGCCGGGCGCCGCGTCGTTACACGGCGCCCGGCTTCCATGATTGGCCTGCAAGACGGCTCCGGCTGGGTACCGGAGGAAGGCCGCTCCTGGCTGGAGAGGCCCCGGGGGTGGCAGGCTGGACATGCGGAGGCGAGAGGGGACAGAGATCCGCACTGAGGGATTCGTATGGGACGGCTTTCTTGTTAATCGGGAAGCCGGGTGGCAAGTCATTACATGGAACCTGGCTTCCTGAATGGGACTTCCGGTACTCGGTCGTTGGTATCGACGAGTAGCGGAACAAAATTATCGGTACTCGTACTCTGTATCAAAATACCGGTATGGGTGCATCCCTAGGTAAAATGTTTTGAAACTTGACCCTTGTGCAGATATTCTAGTAGGATATTGTATAATAGGATATGTGTACCGCACCCTTCACTGCTCATCCCATTACAGGCCGCCTTACGTCTCGGAGGATGTGGCCAGACAAGTGTTAATGGACTACAGTAAGAAACACAGCTTCTTCAGCTCCAAGGCGGCAACAAACATGCAGCTACAAAAGACCCAGACCTTCCACACTCACAGGGTAACTGCATACCAATAAGATCCTTTCATTATGGCTGTTCACTTTAAGGGCAAGGGGGAGCAAATCAGTGTGCGCGCAGTTCATCCTCCTTCCTGTAGGTGTCAGAATTGTAATAACAATTCTTAAATATGAGATTAAACAGGACAAATTCTTTTGTTTTTTTAAAAACCATTATCAAGATTTTTTTGAATTAGAAGTTTCATATAATAGTGATTTTTTCCCCCCATAAATTCATTATTATTCATTTCTTTTTGTGTTTTTTATTTTATTTATTAGTTATATATTCAATTCAACACATTTCTACACCCAAATGTTTTATAATGAAGTAGGCAAGAGCAGGGGCGTAACTAGAGATCACAGGGCCCCATAGCAAAATTTTTGTCTGGGGCCCTGTGACTTCTAGTTATGCCCCTTGCAGAGCCCACTTGAGATCCCACACAGCCCACCTGAGGGTGACCCTGCCGAGCCCACCATAGACTCTCTATGGTTAGCTCGGCAGGGTCACCCTCAGGTTGGCTGGTCGCACTCCTTACCTGTCCGCCTCCTCTTCCTCCTTGCTCGCACAGCGCATTCTTCTTCAGAGACGCCAGTGAAAGCCACCAGCAGAGGATGCCACAGAGACACAGGCGGCCCACTCGGCATCTGGCCGGGCCCCCCTGTGCGTCATGCGTCCCTTCCAGCATCCCTGTACCCCCTCGGCGCAATTCTCAGGCACAGTTGGTGTGTTATAGCCACAAAAGGGGGGGGACAACCCCATACTAATGCACACGGGTTTAGAATTGGATGTCCAACAAGCTCATATACTGTAGATGTGATGGTCAGGTTTTCATAAACCTTGGTCACATAGTTTGGATTCAGGCCTCCTCCTTCCTCCTTCCGGTGTTCCCTCTAATGTTGTCCTCCAGAAAGTTCTTTCCCCCATTGCCTGGCCACACTGTTTACTCAATATGCAGTCAGCTGACATGAGCAGGATCTATTTCCAACCTTTTGTAAAAGACCAATTATCATATATTTTTCCAAGAGAGGATTGTTTTCTTGAACACGATAACATTTTCATTCTAATTACAGTATCGCCTGCAGACCTTCACGGAATCGCGAAAGTGTAAATGGGTTACTGTCCCTTATGATGGTAAGTGAGGTTTACTATTCCATCCAAAACTAAAAGCCAAAATGATTTAGATAGAGATACACTTTGTCTCTCTCTCATTACATTGTTAGGGCATGGATAAAATACTCTATGATAGAACATGTCCTGGTGCCTATTCCTGTTTCTGTCTTTGGACAGGCAAACCTATAGATGGACCAGGTAACGGACCAGCTCCAAAACCGTGGGAAGTTCCTGTTCAGCTACCAAATATGTTTCAGGCTGGGAAGAAAAAAGTGAGAGTCCCCCATACTTCCAGGCTGGAGGTAAAATCTCTCTGCAATTTGATGTGCTTTCACTCAGGGGCATTGATGAAGCTCTCAATACACAGCGGGGACGGGGGGGATGGGGGTCAGTCTTCGGGACTATTTCCGCTCTGTGTAAATTGGAGCTTGAGCTACTGAGCTTGGTTAATTTATTTTGTAATCAATGTAACCTGGAATAATAGTCCAGCAGTCCAACTGCTGACGTGAAATTGAAGTACGTCTTTTGCTGCATGAAATATCTCATAGTTGTCTGCCTATAAAAAGATAATAAAAGATAACTGTACCAGAGAAACTTTATGTAAAATTGTTCTGTGGGAATTCACCACCAGCCTTTGCTTATTGCTTTTATGGATTTTTCACAAAATGTATAAATCTGTGGCTGTTGTGTGAATGGGGCAAACCTGAATGGATGTTCTTAAAGGAGAACTATGGGCTAAGTGTTTTTCCCCATAGTTCTCCTAAGGGTCACGGGAGGACACAAACTAGAGTCCTCCCGCCACCCAAAGCTCAGTATATAGCGAGCTACAGCTCACGGTATACTGAGACCGCCGCAGCCTTGACGGATCCAGACAATACTGTCGATATCCACCCAGCTGCGTGAGTGACAGCTGGCTCTGCCTATCTAGCGGCAGAGCCAGCTGTACCCGCCCCCCTCCCCCGACCGTTCCTCCAGTCAGCGCTGGCGGATCGGAGCGGAGAGGGGGGGGATCCCTGCAGGGAGCCGTGAGTGACAGTCACGGCTCTCTGCAGGGACAGGATCGTGAAGTGAGCGAGCGACGGTATGTGTTCGCTCACTTCCTGATCTACTGAGCCGACGTGTGACAGTTTCATTGTCACACGTCGGCTCGAACTATGAGGATGAGTGATTTTCACTCGCCTCATAGTTCTCCTTTAAGATATTTTCTCTTCTGGCTGAATGTTCTTAGGCTATTTTTTTAGGCTATTTTCTCTTATGTTCGTATGTTCTTAGGATATCAGGAAACCTTAAAGTTGCCTTGCGAAAGACAACTCAAATATCAGAAAAATAAGATTTTGCACATATTAAAAACATTTGAAAGGGTATTATTCACAACTTTTGTGTGAATGCTGATACCTTAGAACAGCAAACGGTTTTATAAATGGAGCCCTTATTGTCGATGTTTTTTTCCCCCATCTGTTTCAGGTGTGTGCATACTGCAAAGGGATTGGCAGAAAAAAATGTGCCAAGTGTGGAGGACTCGGAAAGGTCAGCAGAATGAAATCTCCGTTTTAGCTCTTAAAATTGAACTCAATGTTACATAGTTACATAGTATTTGAGGTTGAATAAAGACACAATTCCATCAAGTTCAACCTATTGCGTGTACGCATATGGTTCTGCTGGTGTGTGTGTGTGTGTATGAGTCCATGTGTGATCTTGTTCTTAGCAGTACCTGTACCCCTGTATATTACGGTCTCTCAGGAAATCATCCAAGAGCTTCGTGAATGATTCCACACTCTTAGCTGAAATCACTGCATGTGGCAGCGAGTTCCAGACCCTAACCGCTCTAACTGAGAAGAACCCCCTTCGCCCCTTGTACTGAAATTTTTTCTCCACCAATTTTAGATGGTGGCCTCTAGTCTTTGTTATGGGGTTAATCGTAAAGAGTTTGTTGCTAATGTTGCCATCACTATTGAACATTTTGTACATGAAAATCATGTCCCCCCCCTTAATCTCCTTACTTCCAACGTGAACGTATTTCAATTTAGTAGCCGTGTCTCATAGCTCTGGTCCTCCATCCCCTTAATGAGTTTGGTTGCCCTTCTCTGGACTCTTTCCAGTTCAAGGACATCCTTACTGTGGACTGGTGACCAAAACTGGACCGCATACTCCAGATGAGGCTGAACCAGTGATCTGTAAAGTGGCAAAATTATAAACTTGACTCTGCAATACGTTCCATTCTTAATACAGGACAGGGCTCTACTTGCTTTGCTTACAGCAGCCTGGCACTGCAAGCTATTATTCAATCTGTGGTCTACAATGACCCCCAAATGCTTCTCCATTTCTGACTTCCCTAGTGGCATACCCATAATTATATAGCCCATTTGCCTATTTTTAACACCAGAGTGCATTTCTTTGCATTTATCGACATTAAACCTCATCTGCCATACAGTTGACCACTCCCCTATTTTATCCAGGTCCTCCTGTAATGTTATAATGTCTAAGTCCGTGTCTATTACCCTCCCAATTTTGGTATCATCAGCAAACACTGAAACATGGCTATTCACGCCCTCCCCGGTATCGTTAATAAACAGGTTGAATAGCATGGGGCCTAGCACAGAACCCTGAGGCACACCGCTCAAGGCCCTAGACCAGTCTGAAAAGGTGCCATTTATCGATACTCTCTGAACACGTTATGTTGTGATTTTCAACAACAGTTAAATTGTGGGCCTACACACTGAAATATGAATTTAATGCGGAACTATAGGCAGACATAAAAGGCAAAAATGTATAAAGTTCTGTATCAATAATGAATCAGAAAAATGTATTTTATGAAATGGAAACCGTGTTAGGACCTGAATTTGACTTGGTATCAGCCTCTTGTGGTCTACTGGAGGGCTTAGAGAGGGGGAAAAAGAAGCAGCGCAAGGAGTCAAGGCTGAATTGAAGTTTCAGCAGTATGCAGGGAATGATGGAAACTGAATACAGAAAAAAATTGCACAGTTGTTCAGGAGATACACTATAAAGGTGCCCATACACTGCTCGATTCTGGTACGAGAATCGAGCAGTGTGAACTAAGACGTGCTGTCACGCTCGCCTATTTAGCGGAGGTCTGTATAGCGGATCACAACTGCGGAAGTGGAGTTGTAGGGGTTTAGGACGGGAATCAGGACGCAACTCTTTCTCACTTTACCCAGTTTTGGATGAGGCCGTGAGGGAGTTGCAACACATCATACCCCGTCCCCTGGATTGTGTAATTGGGAGAAGTCTCTACGGGGTTATTCACAAAAGGGTGAACAGTTTGGAGAAGGCCGGAGAAGTGAACCATCTAGGACAACATAGTTGATTTGGAACAATTCTCCAATTCAGCTCACTGTTCAGTTCAGCTCTGTTCTCCTAGATTGTTCACTTCTCCGGCCTTCTCCAAACCCTTCACCCTTTTGTGAATACCCCTGTAAATGTTTGTGGACACCTGACCATCACACCTATGTGAGTGTGTCGAACTTCCAACTACAAAACCATGGCCCTTATATGAAATTGTTCCCTTTGTGGCTATAAGATCCCCCACTTTTCTTGGAAGTCTTCCACAACATTTTGGAAGGTGTCTTTGAGTATCTGTGCCCATTTGTGAGGTCAGGTACTGATGCTGGATGAGAAGTCCTGGCTCACAATCAGCTTTCTAATCCATCCCAAAGGTGTTCAGCAGGATTGAGGTCAGGACTTTGTGCAAGACACTCGAGTTCCTCCACACCAAACTGCTCAAAACCATGTTGGATAAGAAGACCTGGCTCACAATCGGCTTTCCAAATTCATCCCAAAGATGTTCAGTAGGGTTGAGGTCAGGGCTCTGTGCGGGACACTCGAGTTCCTGCGAACCACACTGGTCACACCATGTCTTTATGGACCTGACTTTGTACACAGGGGGCATTCATGGTGGAACAGAAAATGGTCTTCACCAAACTGTTACCACAAGACTGGAAGAGGACAGTTGTCTACAATGTCTTTGTATGATGTAGTAGGATTAACAGAACCTTCACTGCAGACTCCTGAACTCGATCATTGGAGGAGGTCCACATACTTTAGGTTGTATAGCATACAAAGTACATTTAATTGAGGTGTTTTTGGCCCTTTTTAAAAAAAAGTGTTCTAATTTGTCTTCATTTGCATTTACAGGCAAAAAAGGCGACTGGAAATGAAAGATCCATGTAAGTTAATTGATGGGAAATGTATACAATCAAAGTGAAGATGAGTCAACGTAGGTTGAGAATTCTTGTAAGAAATGTGGACGGGATCGTTTATGCAGCTTCAAGAACAAAATGACCCCATGGTCAGATGAATATCAGCATGAAGGTCATTCATATACATAAGAGAGCAGTCTCAATTGATCAGTGTGTTATATCTAAGAAATGAACAACAGCAAAAGGTTTCCTAGCACACCCACCAGCCAGCATGCAAAAAAACTTGTCTCACCGCTAAGGTTAAAAACAGAGTTTTAGATACACGTCTTCTGCAGAAAATGTGAAAGCCGCACAGCCGCGCCAAGGCACCTCTATCCATACACAGCACGATTATCGTACGATCGCGGGATTTCCCGCGATTCTCGTACGAGAATCGTGCAGTTTATGGGTAACTTAATCCATCGCCTTGCAATTAGCAGCAGAGTTGTCAGCCTTTGTTGCGTGTCCTCCTTCAGTTGGCCATTGTGCTTTGTATCAAGTATTCAGCCCCCCAGAAAAGGTTTCATCTTGTGCTCTTGTGGTGGAGGCAGAAGAGCAAGAGAGGGCTGGTAAGATGAGCATAGCTGGGGGTGGGGCTTTTACAAACACTCTATCACCGTGTCCTAAAAGAACATGGATTAGGGGTTCCAACCGGCTAAACAGGATTGGGTGATCCAGGTTTTTATTAATGAACTCATCTGTAGTAACCAAGCTCATTCTTCTGATCATGCAGGTGTGGGTATTGCAATGGCTACCGTTCCTTCATGTGCGAGGACTGCCACGGGCAGGGGCATGATTTGAAGTACATAGAGCTGACTGTAAAATGGTAAGATTACGATGACTCTGTCGGTGTTATTTAGAAGGTCGTGGAGGCGTTTTTTTATGCTGAAATTGTGTTTTTGGTCTCTTTCAGGAAAAACCACCCCATTGAGTTTGTAGCGGACCACAAGTCTGACTTTCCATCAAAGAGATTCAAGAAGGTGACTGGGGAGGTTGTCTTCTCCGATGAGCAGATGAGTGTGAGATCTGTTTAAATCTGCTTTTTTGTATACATTTCATATTGAAACTTTTCCATGATTTTTGTTGCATCTTACTGCTCCTGAACTCCTCAGACCCCTTCGCAGTCACTTCCTGTCTACATCATGTGCTCCATAGGTGGCTGCATGTTGTTGCTCAGGGTGGGACTCTTGATGGTGACAATGGTAGAACTGGCCATGCAATGGACAATGTCATGGCTGGTTATAGCCACCGCTAAGAGCACATGTGACAGGGTGACAACGCAAAAGAACAAATGCAAGACAGGAACAAATAATTTTCTACCTCTCATCAGGAAGTGACTGAATGAGGCTGAGATCAAGATCAGCACTTAAAGGAGAATTATGAGGCGAGTGATTTTCACTCAGCCTCATAATCTGAGCCGACCTGTGACAATGAAACTGTCACACAGGTCGGCTCAGTAGATCGGGAAGTGAGCGAACACATACCGTCGCTCGCTCACTTCTCGATCTATCCCTGCAGAGAGCCGTGACTGTCACTCACGGCTCCCTGCAGGGATTCCCCCCTCCACCCCTGTCTGATCCTCCAGCGCTGACTGGGGGAGGGGGCGGGTACAGCTGGCTCTGCCTCTGGATAGGCAGAGCCAGCTGTCAATCCCGCAGCTGGGTGGATCTCAACATCAATGTCGGGATCCGCTCCGGTTTGCGGCGTCTCAGTATATAGGGAGCTGTAGCTTGCGGTATACTGAGCTTAGGGTAACGGGAGGACGCTAGTTTGTGTCCTCCCGTTACCCTAAGGAGAACTGTGGGGAAAAACACTGACCCCATAGTTCTCCTTCAATGAAACTTAGTGGCTGGGTGGAGATGATGTTTGTATATGAAGAAAATCGTTCCATGTGTCATGCTGGATGGTGGAATAATCAGGAATATCTCTGTGATTGCAGCTGATTCCGGTCACCGGATTCCCAGATCCCTCCATAAACGAAGCGTCTCAAAAAGCAATTACTCAGCATCGCCTACACTCCGAGTCTTCTAAAATATTGAGACAGGTATGTGATGATCAACTGTATATCAGAGATATCTAATGGGAACTTTGAATGTACCAAATATATATATCTATTTATAGTGATGCATCGATACCGTTTTTTTCGGTATCGCGTACGAGTATCGATACTTTGTTGTCGGTATTCACCGATACCGAGTACCGATACCAGTGCTTCTGCTGACATGGAGCCGGCTTCCAGGCCAATCAGGAAGCCGGGAGGCGGGTCATTACTCGCCGCCCAGCTTCCTGTGTACAGGAAGCCGGCTCCATGTTCCCCTACGGCACTGCCTGTCAGAGGAAATCTTCCCCTGACCGAAAGTTCCAGTATCGGGGAAGGTATTGAAGCATTTGGGCGATTACGAGTACTCACCCAAATACTCGGTATCAGCACCGATACCGGTACTAGTATCAGTATCGGTGCATCCCTATTTATTTATATACATAGAGACAGCATAATGGGAGGTGCTGGCAGGTAATGGTCAAGGGGTGGGAGGTGGGCAGTTATGCGCAGTTGTCGTGCTGATTTGTCTTTCGGGAAAGAGGGGGCAGACGTCGGACCACACTGCCAGCGACTCTGGTGTCTGGCCGGCTCACTGGTTGCCAGGAGCATCCTGCTCAGCTTCTGGCAACCGTTGATGTCAGTCAGCTGGCTGGGAAGCCACACAGAGCGTCACAGGTTACTAAGAGCTCTTAGCAACCTGGTATGTTGTGGCCGGCCCCCATCATCAAGCCGTCCCCCAATGAGATGCCGCCTGAGGCAACAGCCCTGGGGTTTGTAGTTTCAGCACAGTTGGAGTGCCAAGGTTGCCTACTCCTGATTTGGAACATGTAGCTGAATGATAGCACAAGGCTGAAGTCCTTATTGAGGTCAAGGAACTCCTGAATGACTTGCAATATTTACTGTAGGCTGAGGATTATCCTGTAATAAACAGGACCCCCCTCCCCCTAACCTGTACTCAAAGTGAGGAGCCTTCACTGCACAACATCTTTTTTGATTATTTTATCAAAATGTTGACAGCCATGTTGGAAAGGTAAAAAAAAACAAAAATCTTTGAGGACCAGGTTGTGTTATCCTAAGGTCCAGGTAGTGGGCAGCTCAGTAGACCATGCCCAGGTCTTGGGGCTTCTCACATGTTCATGTGATGAAATGTGTGGGATCATGCATGCTCCTCTCTATATAAAAGCACAAAGCCAGTAGCCAAAGTAATTGGAAGAAGCATCGGTTGCTTTAAATGTGTAGGATATTTTATGGAAGATTTTCTGTAATGCGACACATTTCGGGAATCTGTATGATCTTCCTCAGGGCCGCTGATGTCTGTAAACAAAGAAAAACAGGAGATGGTAAAACTTGTAGCAAATCAGCATCTCAGCAGAGATCCAGTACAGACGATGTTATGGCTGACTGTCATGGGTACCGTGCGCAGGTGTCCTCACACCGCATGCAGGTACCTCCACGGGAGGACCAAATGCGTGACCACACCAGACAAGGCCAATTGAGCTTATATATATATATATATAGTTTATTTATACAGAGCAAAACATAACACAAACCACAACTAAGTAACGATAACCAACTAAATACACACCCAAGCACATACAAAAAGATAATATAAAGTAACCAAAACTAGGAGGAAACCGCAGAATACCCACACAGGGTATAACAGGCCAGGAAAACCTGGGGAGCAGGGCAACAGGGCTCAGGACAACAAGCAGGTAACAGGGCTCAGGATTCGCACTAAAAGGCAACAGGATACTGAAGCAAAATCCTGACTGCAGGGAGGGATTAAATACCCTCCCAGGAATTGATTAATCACTGACAGCTGGAAGAGAGCCACAGGTGAGGACTGGACAAGCGGGTTCCAGCACCACCCAGTGGTGGTCCGGTACCTAACATCTCCTGGCTGCCCGAAAACACCTACAGATGAGCACAGGAACTGCAGGACCTGCTTCCTGCGCCCCCTGGAGGAGCTATGGTCCCTGACACTGACTATTCTCTGAAGTGATTGTGAGTGACAATATTCACCTCGCCTTGTATAAAATTCATCTTCCTTCTTTCTCTAGGAACACAGGATCGAGTGGCTGCCTCTGACCAAGGTGGAATATACATGGAAAAATAAACAATATGAGTTCTTTGTGTATGGGAAAGAAAAAAAAGTTTATGCAGATAATTATCCAATGGGCTGTGCAGTCATGTGACTGGCGAACAATAGGGACTTCTGGACTATAAAGAACAATCTTCAGGATAGTTTACATCCATAATGAACTCGTTTTCCAGTGACAGAAGAAATACAAAAATAAAAGGGGGAGAGAGAGAGATACAATGTTCTAGCTGTCACTATCATTACAATGTATCATTTAGCAGGAACAATGTCCAGCTTCTGGGGATAACAGAAACATTTGAGAAGAGAGTGAGAGAGAGAGAGAGAGAAAGAAAAAAGTGAGAAAGAAAGTATCCATGTTTTATTATAATTATTCCTGATGGATTTTGATTATATTTAAGCAGCTGAAATCGGCACGTTCTCTACAAATAGTTTCCGCAGAGTTTCACAAGAGCATCATGAGTGAACCTGAACAATATGACAGGATGTCACAGTGTGTTACAATGATTCCGAAAGAATGTTACAACCTGATGAAACAGGAATCGCTTCCTCGAAAGCCTTCTCATCTGTGTCATAAATGTTGTTCAATAAGCAGGTTGGGGAACATTGAGGACAGAGAAAAGGAAGCCCTTGGGGGGGAAATGAGACTAAGAAGAAGGTAAATCATCGGCACAAACCTATATGTAGATATTTCCCGGTGTGCTCACGTGATTCAGTCGTATGGCATTTCGTTCTCCAAGATCTGTAACATTGTTAAAGTCATTTCTATAGTCTTTTTATTTTATTTATTTGTTTAATTATTTTTATTGTTCTATCTTTATATCTAATATGTTGTTATATCACAATTGTTCATTTTAAGGTTTTACATTCACCACAAATATTTTTATGATTATGAGGACGGTCACTTTGATCAGATGTTTTATGCTAGTTTTCAATCAGTTTTTTAGGTTTGTATTATTTGTGTAATAAAACGTGGTCATACCACTCTTTGTATCTGTATGTACATGCATCAGACTCTATGCACTATTATTATTAGACAGGATTTATAGAGCGCCAACAGTTTGCGCAGCGCTTTACAATATAAGGAAGCCATTACAATGACATAGTTACATAGTATTTGGGGTTGAATAAAGACATAAATAAATTTGGGGTTGAATAAAGACAACCCATATAGGTCCACGCATCACTATACAATTCAAGACAAGATGGTAAGGAGGGCCCTGCCCCTGAGAGCTGACAATCTAAAAGGGAGGGGCCAGTCATACATGAGGAGGTAGCTGTGTGGGGATGAATTGTTTGAGAACGTGATGGTTCAGTACTTAGGTTGAGGTGGGATAGACTTCCCTGAAGAGATTAGTCTTAAGGGATCGCCTAAAAGCAGTCAGAGTGGGAGATAGACGGGCAGGTTGGGGTAGGGAGTTCCAGAGAATGGTGTCACGTACCTTGGTGTGAGCCTGAAGTGATGATGAAGGCCTTCCCTTGCTGCTCTCGTCTGAGCCCCACTGGAGATGGAACAGTAGTTGTACAGACAGCGAGGGGCACGAGTGCCTGTGGCTGGTATGACTACTTGACACACTGGATACGCTGATGCTGACAACAGGACGCCAGAGGCAGCTGGTGGTCGATGGCTAGATTAGACGACACTTGTGTGAGGAGCTGAAGTGTAGTCAGGAACAAGCCAGATCGGTAACTTGCGGTCAGCGTGGTGCCGGAGACAGGAGCGAAGTCAGGAGCAGGCCGGGTCACTTGCGAGCAGGATAGTACCAGATCAGGAGACAGAAGAATGGTCAGGGACAAGCCGAGGTCACAAGGCAGGCAGACAGAGTCAGGAAGCAAGCCGGGTCTAACGGATATCAGAGGCGGAATCACAGATGCAGAGTACAGCTGAAGATATCTCAGCAAGGTGCAGATGCAGGAGCCATCTTTAACCCACCTGGCGCCAAGGACATGCGCATAGTTTTGTTCAGCGATCCGGGCAGAACCTGTATTATGGGTGCTGACTGATGTACCCTGACAGATGGGAGACTCTAGAGAAGTCCTGGAGGCGAGCATGAGAGGAGATGACAAGGGAGCTGGAAAGCAGGAGGTCTTTGGAAGAGCAGAGAGGACGGTTAGGGTGATACTTTGAGACGAGGTTGGAGATGTAGCCGGGGGCAGAGTTGTGGATGGCTTTGTAAGTGGTTGTTAATATTTGAAATTTCATCCTTTGGGCGATTGGAAGCCAGTGGAGGGATCGGCAGAGAGGGCAGAGGATGGAAACCAGTGGAGGGATTGGCAGAGAGGGGTGGGGGATGGAAGCCAGTGCAGGGAATGGCAGAGAGGGCAGAGGATGGAAGCCAGTGGAGGGATTGGCAGAGGGGGGTTGCAGATACTGAGCGGTTGGTTAGGTGGATGATTCTAGCATCAGCATTCATGATGGATTGAAAGGGGGAGGAGCCTGTGTAGAGGACTTGATGTAACTTTGTCCCCCCCCCATGAGTTGTATGAACTCTGTTATGTATATTATGTTTCTAAATCTGTATTTGCTGTATTTGTAGCCCTGAAGAGTTGATCTGAGTCTCCTGAAAGGTGTTGGTGTGTACTATGATACTTCAATAAATAATAAATCTGGAAATGACGTCTCTGAATACTCCTTTGCTTCTAAAATGTTGAAACACAAGTCCGAGATCTGATGCAAGTGGCAGCCCTTTTAAAGGGGGTTTGATAGTTTTTTTCTTTTTTTCTCTAGGTTGATGTCTAGGTGAATATGATTAGCTTAATGACAGCGATTATTAAAAACTTTATGTATAGTTTTAAATATATATATGTACAGCAGGGAGCTGTATTTGCTCATTACACACGTTGTCTCTCCTTCCAGTTTAGTAGTGCTGCACATTGATCGTGCTTTACTGTTCCCTTCTAGCTCAGTGATTGCTAGTAATCTGTTTGCATTGACTGCAAATAATAGATGTGGCTTTTCCTGTTATGGACTTTATCTCAGCAGTTGCTCACTGCGGAGAATAGCTGTAGCCTACTCACAGAAAACAACAGCCTAAGAACATTCGACCAGAAAAGAACATATCCAAAGAACCTTTGATTTTGCTCCACAGCTTTATACAGTGTGCACAAAATCCCTAAAATGAAAGGAGAACTATGGGGTCAGCGTCCTCCCGTGACAGAGCTCAGTATACCGCGAGCTACAGCTCACTTTATACTGAGACCGCATTACTGTCGAGATCCACCCAGCTGTGTGATTGACAGCTGGCTCTGCCTATCCACTTGTAAAAGAACAAGCGGCTTCCCTACACTACATTTAGTCCTGCCTTCCCAAAGCAAGACTAAATATAGAAAGCGCAACTTACCTCCCGAAACTTTATGTTCCTGGGCGTCGGGGATTACACTCCGCTGCTGCCCCTCTGCGCCCTGCCGCCCCGAGGGGAATCCGAGCCTGAGAACATGCAAACTCCATGCAGATAATGTACTGACTGGGATTTGAACCGGGGACCCTGAGTGATCCAAGGCAGGAATGCTAAACACAATGCCACTGTGCTACCCTATACTGCTATACATATGAATTAGCATACATGTGTTGTGCTGCAGGTGATTTCCTTTACACTATATGTGTGTGTTTGTGAGCCTATAAGATGCATTCAGAATGAATGATAATGCACATGCACAGCACGTTGCAATAATGTGCATTCAAATGCAGATTTCACCCTACAATACCACGCATGCTCAGGACTGCTTGATTAGAACATCTGACCCCAGTCTTTGCTTTTCCCCAACAATTGCCTGATGCCAATCTCTTGCCCGCCACCACCCCAACTCACCACAAGCTCAACCAAGACAATGTTCTATGAAGGGCCAACTGGTCATAGAGGAGTGACCACCACACCCTACAGCAAGATGTTCCTGGAAATGACTCTGGAAGATCCCACAGGTTCAGCTACAGATCATAGTGGAAGCATGGAACAAAGGAATTCTCATTTCCAGAGAGAAAACCTCATCATAGTCCAGCCTTTCATGCTCACGCTCTGGATGGGAGGTGGACAGAGATGACATCACATTGCGAGATATAAATGCATTCCACCTCTCAAATTACTTTACATTCGAATCATTACGGAGATGGCTTTGGTCCAGGAATCTTTATTAAATTAGACAAAGAGCAGTGTGCAAAGTGCAGCAACCCGCAGCAGCCAATCAGCAATCACCTTTTACTGACCTGACTCCAGTGAAGGGATTGCCTGCTGCACTCAGCGTGTCATAATCTGCACCTCCGTGGACCATTCATATCTTCACGTTGCACCCCCCCCACCCCCCACTACCACTACCACTTACCTGATTTGTAGGTAGCCTGCTGCTATTCTCTTTAATTTGGCATGGTTGCGCTTTGGCATGGCTGTGCTTGGTCTGTGGATGGAGAAACTACAAGTCCCATCAGCAGAGGGATTTGTAGTTTTAATAGAATACAAGTGCGGTGACGTCGTGGCACTTGTAGTCCATTTGTTTTAACTACCATCCATGTTACTGGATGTCCATACTGAGGAATGGACAAGGATGGGAGGGAGAATCTGCAGGAGCCGGAGCATTGCACCCATGATCCACTGATCACGGTTGCAATGCTTTAGGCCTCATTCCCATTGGGCGCACACATCCGCGCGGCATGCACGCCAGTAAACAGCCGATCCCGGAAGAGACAGGTGCTGCGTGTAAATGCAGTGGCCTGTTCTTCCCTATGGGAGGACGCAGCTGTACGGTGTCATACGGACACCTGAACTGCAAATCAGTGCGGGTATGGGAGTCTCCACTAGGACACAGACAGGATCCATCCTGTGTGTGTCTAAGTAAAGACACCTGTACCCACATGGTTAAAAGCGTACAGCCACGGTTTCCCATAGGGAAGAACAGGCTGCTACACTCAATCACACGGGATCGGCTGTGTACGGACGTGTACGCCCTGTAGGAAAAATAGAAGTGGGGATGGAGAGGGACATTTCACTGACTGGAGCTCTCTGCTGACTGTCCAGGGGGAAAGGGGGGAAGGATGGGGGTAGGAAGGATGGGGGTAGGAAGGATCAGGTAGGTAAATCTGCAATAAATCCTTGTGGAATGCAACATGTGCAACAGCTTGGGTGTCAAGCAACCAGAATCTTCACAAAATGGCAGCATTGGCAGTCCACCTATTGCTCCCATACAGAGTATCCCTGGGAACTGATCCCAACCTACTGTGCCCCCCTGGGCCCGGGCCCCATAGCGGCCACCTGGGTCGCTATGGCTATTGTTACGCCACTGATCTCCACCCTTCACCCATCACACCCTCCCACCTTGACACCAGACAGAAACAGAAGGGTTAACAAGGGGTGGCCTCATCTATTTATTAGCAGGTTGGGTCAGAAGGTATCAATCAGAAGTCTGAAGTTTCCTCTACAAGGTGATGGAAGGGAAAGTTGCAATGTGAATGTTACAAATTGTCATAATTATATATTTTTTTTTCTGGAAAGATGTAAGAAGGAGATCTTTGTTTTCACAAAATTGATTTTTGGTGATTTGTAAATGAAAAACGGTTCAGACTGCTACAGAAACATTAGGAGAATTTATCGGCTTAATTGCATGTCATGTATTACATTAAAATTAAATCGGAGATTTGATTTTCATTTATGTATAAAGACATTAGTCCATCAAGTCCAACCTATTAGGATCTCATTCTAGGAGTACCTGTACCCCTGTATATTACCTGTACCCCTGTATATTACGGTCCCTTAAGAAATCGTCCAAAAGTTTCTTGAACAATTCCACATTATTTGCTGAAATCACCGCCTGTGGCAGTGAGTTCCAGACCCTAAACGCTCTAACTGTAAAGAACCCCCTTCGCCCCTTGTGCTGGAATTTATTTTCCACCAATTTTAGGTGGTGTACATGATGCATCTTTGTTTACAAAGGATGCGGGCATTGTAATAAGGGGAAAAAATTCAGTCCGCTCTGTAAATTGGTCGCATAATGTTGTGCAAACTTCCATCTAAATGAAATCGGAGAAGATTAGATTTTTAAATGATAAAAGGTTTTATTTTATGCCTGATTCCTCTGCTATGATTCCCCGCCACTGTATGAATGCTGCCACAATTTTTAATTTTCTTCTTAAAAGGCCACAACTGCTCAAAATGGTGTGTGTGGTTTTGCAATATTTATTTATTATTATTCAGGATTTATATAGTTCCAACAGTTTGGGCAGCATATATATATATTCATTTTTTAAATAGTTTTTAGTTTTAGGCCCCATTCCCACCAAATTTCATCACGTGGATTTTTCTGCGCTGAAACGCATGCAAATAAATTCCCATACATTCCTATGGGGGCTGTTCATACAAATGTGCTTACAAATACGCCTGTCGTTTGAAATAGCCCCTGAGCTTCTTATGTCACGCTGATCAGCTCGTTTTGCTCTATAGACTTCAATGGAAACGTGCTGATCAGTGCGTTCTTGCGTGATTCCGTGTGTTGTGGTTTTTTTTTATGCGTGTTTGAGCCTGCTTATCATTGGACAACTAAAAATGAGCTTCAAAAACATGCTCCCGTATGAAGCGAAAACGCCTGTAATTCGTGCTGAAACACGCATAAAAAAAGTGTGTAATTATGCAAAAAGCGCTGAAAAAAACAGTGCTGAAAGGCTATCGTCCTGGTGTGAATGGGACCTGATTTCATTTGTTTTTTTTAATCTTTGTTTTGTATTTTGTATTTTTGCTTTGCTTAATTGTTTTCCTTTTACATATATTCATTAAATTGTATTGTGTGTGTGTGTGTTTTTTTTTTCTTTCTAGACCGTGTATTGCTGTTTTAATTTTTGTAAATGCATTTTTTGCTGTTTGTTTTTCTGTAGAGGAAACTAAAGTAAAATGATGCAGCTAATACGGGGTTGGCTTTTGGTACAAGCACAGGTCCAGACTAGTGATGTGTGTTGGTTTGGTATGAAACGAGTTTGCCTGAGTTCACTCAAGCCAGTGCAAAACTGTCCAGTGAAGCCCCCCCCCTGCCCAGTTTTGCACATGCTGGGGTGAACTCTGTTCACACCAAGCTAGGGTTGCCAGCTGTCCAGGATTCACCCGGACAGTCCGGGTTTTGAATGCTGTGTTCGGGTTTCATGGCAGCAGAAAGATGTCAGGCAGACAGGGGCAACCAAAATTAAGATAGGGGCTACTGGCCCCCCACCGAAAATAATCTCAACTGTGATATTTAGATATGAATAAGCTGCGACTCAATCTCCCCAAAAAATTTCTGCGCATTGCTAGAGTGTTCGGGTTTCGCTTGAAGAAAAGGTGGCAACCCTACACCAAGCCCATGCTTATCACTAGTCCACAATAGATGGCAATCATGAGTCAGTTAAAGGAGAACAATGAGGCGAGTGCTTTTCACTCACCTCATAGTTCTAGCCGACCTGTGACAATGAGACTGTCACAGGTCGGCTCAGTAGATCGGGAGGTGAGCGAACACATACCAGGTTCGCTCATCTCTCGATCCTGTCAAGGCTCTCTGCCGTGACAGGGGGAGGGCTGGATTCCCCTCTCCGATCTGCCAGCGCTGACTGGCGGAACGGACGGGGGAGGGGGCAGGTACAGCTGACTCTGCCTCTAGATAGGCAGAGCCAGCTGTCACTCACGCAGCTGGGCGGATCCCGCCATCTACGTCGGGATCCGCTCCGGCTGCGGCGTCTCAGTATATAGGGAGCTTAGGGTGACGGGAGGACGCTAGTTTGTGTCCTCCCATTACCCTAAGGAGAACTATGGGGAAAAACACTGACCCCATAGTTCTCCTTTAAAGCCAATTGCATCATTAAAAACCACCAAGTGTTGGGCAAGTTGTTGACTTTTTTTTTTTTTTACAATGAGTCCTACTTCAATCTCTCAATGGGTATAAAAATAATACAGGGGCAAACCCAGCTGATATCACTTTAAGAGCATGCTGGCCCCATATCTTCTTTTTGTCAGTAGACCCGCCCACAGCAAAGTGCCAAAAATCTTACACTGCATAAAAGTCAATTCCGACATCTTTATGTGCTGTTTTCCTGTGAAAAGGCCTCCAGTAGTACGTGTATTTCTGGACTCATTGGCTTGCATTGTGTCCTGAGGGCGTTTTGCTTTTCTGCAGAAGCCCTTGACGTGGGTGGGTGGGAGCTCCAGGGTGTATTGTGTGTCTGCGCTTGGCGAAGATTGGCTCTACATCTTGTATGTTTGTGGATTTTGTGTTCAATGAGCGTAGAGTTGGGTGGCGGTGTGCAAAAATTGCAATGCAGACATTGTTTGCTCCAGCACTGACTTGTGTTTTCTTTTATCTTTTGCACTATTCCCTTTTAACTACAGCAGACCCCCACGCCCAGCCAGGCTCGATTTGCAAAATTGAATCCCACCCAGCACTCTCCCCCCCAGCTCCCACCCAGCACTCTTCCCCCCAGCTCCCACCCAGCACTCTTCCTCCTCAGCTCCCACCCAGCACTCTCCCCTCCTCTCATTCCTCCCTCCTGATAGAGCTGCAGGATAGCAAAACTCTCACAGGAAATAACAGCACACAACTGACCCCCTGCTGATCGCCTACAAGGTATTTTACACTTCGCTCTCTGTATAGCATTTTTATTATATTACTATGATATGCTGTGACTGTGTATGTTTGTTTGACATGTGCAATGCAGGATGGCTGTTGAGTTTGAGACTTGTGGCTTTCTGGTGGTCTTGGGACGACAATTTCATATGATTGTTAGGGGTGTTTTTTATTGCCGCTGTGAAGCCATGGAGGCTTTTGTGAATTTGGGTTTTATATACTTCAGATTAATGAATTAGTACTAGAATGTCCAGGATCCAAGTGTGTAGCCTTGTGGGATCAGGTATGGTTGGCAACAATGTATCCAAATCCCAGACAGAAGGATACAAAGTCAACTATCGCATGTATCTAGCTTCAGACCATCTGTCTTGCTGCAAATGGGCCCCAGAGAGGGCACCCCAGGGTGTGGTCTGGTGGAAGCCAATGGTCAGTGGGGAGAGGTGATCACGGGGCTTTATTATATTATATTCTATATTGCCAACATTTTATGCAGCTCATTCACATCAGTCCCCGCCCTCAAAGTGCTTACAATCTAAGGTCCCAATCTCACATACTGGGGCCAATTTTAGACTGGAGCCTATTACCCTACTAGCAGGTATTTGGAGTGTGGGAGGAAACCAGAGCAAACCCACACAAGCACAGGGAGAACATGCAACCTCCATACTACCGATACCGGTTTTTTAGTATCGAGTACCTATATATTTTTTTCAGTACTCGCCGATTCTGAATACCGGAAGTCCAACTAAAGGTGCCCACACACCTTGCGATAATGGAGGGAAATCCTGCGATCGTACGATTATCGTAAGGTGTGTGGAAGCCGTGCGACCTCTACTACTGTAAGATCGCACGACTTTTATCTTAGGAACATGCTCGAAAACCCGCCGAGCATCGTACGCAAGTACGATCTGCCTGTCCAAGATGGGCAGATCGTACATTTTTTAAAATTACCTTACAACCATCGCAAGACAAAAGTCTTGCGATGGTTGTAAGGTGTGTGCCCAGCATAAGGAAGATGGGCAGCGTGTAATGACTCACCACCTGGCTTCCCAATGCTTCATGCTTCTCGTCCTTGTCACTAGGTGAAGAGAAAGCATGGAGCCGGCTTTCTGGCCAATCAGGAAACTGAACGCAGTGTAATGACGTGCCCAAATACTCAACATCGTCACAAGCACAGGGAGAACATGCAACCTCCATACAAATAGTGTTCTGGCCAGGGCAGCCATCAGAAATGTTGGTGCCCCCTGCCCCACCGTCGCCACACTGAGCCAGTCACATCAATCTCTGACAGAGGAGCTTACACTGGAATGTGTCCCCCCCCCACCCCCCACAGTCACACACCGTTATTATTAGGGATTATCATTATTAATATTATACAAGATTTATATAGCGCCAACAGTTTGCGCAGCGCTGCACCGATACCGTTTTTTCGGTATCGAGTACCGATATTTTTTTCTTTCGGTACTGAATGCCACCAGCTGTAGGGGGACTACAAATCCCAGCAATACATTTACACAGCCATGCAGAACAGTACATGAATTGGACTCTGGGCTTAGTGACCCGCTGGACCCCACACATACCCGAGAGTGATCCTACAGAGCCCACCATAGATGCTGCACAGCCCGTCTGAGACTCTATGGTGGGGGTCTCAGGTGGGCTGGTCAGGGCTGCAGCTCCTCTTACCTGCTCCTGCTGCCTGTACACCTGGCCTCCTCTGCCACCAGACTAGCCGGAAGTGACGTGATGTAACTTCCAGCCGGTCCGAGATCAGAACAGCGGCGGCGCTGATGGGACCCTACCCTCCTCCGAAGCCCCTGGGTCGGCGCTGCTGGGGCCCGGCGCTGCTAGGGCCAGGCCTCCTCCGGCGCTGCAAAAGGCCCGGCCGCCTCGACCTTCACCCATCAGCGTCACTTCTCAAAAGTTCTGTTGTTTAATGGCCTCATCACAAAACCACAGGATGATTGATCTTTCAGGAGGCAGGGCATACCTTTACATCAAAGCTGTATCATTGATATCCATTTTATCAGCTCCAACAGCCACTACACACATGAACTGGCCCTCTGTTTGCCATATGTAAAGCAGTAGGGTTGATGCACTGCAGATGTCTCCACTATCAGTCCATGAGGGAGAAACCAAATACTATTGAATAAAGACATTCTAACCTGTCCCGTTGCAATTTGGCATCAAAATTTTTGGCCGGTGGCATCTGCAGATGGTTCATATAAAATGTCTGCATTGAGAGATGGTCATCTAATCCTCTGGGTTAGCTGCTGGTTGGGGTGAGCAGGGCTGGCTAGCTGAAGAGCCCTCAAGCAATTTCATTTGCAGACCTTCCCTCCCCTCCCCCCTTCCTTCCCCAGTGTGTACATTTCCTTTTTTTTTTTGGTAGATCTGAAACTTTTATTTTTCTGGGGAAGCTGAAATATTTTGACATTGGTTTCACCTGCTCCTTGTACACAATCTCCTGGTGGCCAGACACAGCAGAGTTTTATATAATCTATTGCAGCCATACTCCCCTCATAACTTTCGATGGAGCATTTTGGTGGGATGACCGACATCTGTAATATAATTCTCCTCCTCCTGTGTTGCTTCCCAGTGATGCTCCAGTGGATGAGAGGGGCTATGGTGGGCTTGGAGAGGTGATCTAGAACGTGGGAACACCCTGATGTGCCTATTGGAGAGTCACCACCAAGGCCATCTTTATGGTATTTCATTTCCTTTGGCAATGGTTACCGGTGCATTTGTCATCAGAGGGTGTGTTTTTGGGTGGCGGCAGCTACCGGACCAAGCTGTCAGGTGGCTCTGTCTGGCAACCCACCCGGCTCACTGACATCACTGGTAGGAACTTGGCAGGACGCAAGCCAGAGCATCCCGCTCAGATCTAGGCAACTGATGAATCCGTTAGCTGGCAGAGAGTCACAGGTTGATAAGAGCTCGTGGCAACCTGGGACACTTTGGCTGACAACCTCATGACAGCCGAGGCTGGTCACCACAACGCTAAGGTTATAACTCTGTTCTCCTTCTGTTGGCACACTCCCAGTATAAGACTGACAGCACAATGCATTGCAGCGCAGCATGATTGCAGCTTACTGCTGGCCCTCCCTTTTTAGGAATTTGCAGGAAAACAATCTTGAAATTCGATAACTGTAATTTTTACAAAAATTGGAATAAATGGTGATCGTTAATTATCCGCCTGGAGTTCAGCTTTACTGTGTCCAGGGATGCCGCGATGTGCTGAAGGGTATGCGGCGGGTTAAGGGGGGGCATCTGACGCCTCTGGATATGTCGAAGATTCCATCGGCGGTCATTGCTCTGCAAGAAAGTGAAAGGTAGAAGTCCCTGGTGGTGGCACTGGTGAGTATCAATGTTCTTTCACATAGGGACAGTTTTGCTTTAAACCACGGTAAGCTTCAGCGAATTCTGGGAGTCCAGCCAAAAGAGCATCTCTCATCTTATGTTGTGTATACAAGACGGGCTCATCTGAGAGTCTTGACGCACCACAGGCTTATCATAGGCAAAACAATCCTCACATTTAGCTCTTAGTATTTAAACATCACTCTTGTATTATTGAATATATTCACTTCAAACCCTTACAAAACTTTGGCTAGTACACATAGGAAGTGGTACCTTGTCCCCACTAGAGAGGAAGACCATTGCCCAGCAAACACGAGTTTTTTTGTTGTCCAATCCAAGTTGCATGAGATACTAAATCCCATTAATACTAAAACCTTCCATTGCGCTAATGCACATGCGTGTTATGGAATGTGTTAATATGCTTTCAATGAGGCAGCCCATTCATTATAAATGGGCTGCCAACACACCATATGGGATGGGAAAAACATCCATTAACCTTTCTTTATAAAACACTACTCACCACAAAGCACGGTATATGCGTAGCGGCGTGGTGCATTGGGCTCTACAGTACAACGTGTTAAAGGGCCATCCAAAATAAATGGTATTGCACTGCACATAGAGCACAAGTATGAACGAGCCCTTGGGGAGACCGAGAAACAAACTGTCATTTAAAGCTGTAGTGATCAACTGAACAAGGTTTTGTGGGGCCTTAATTGAGGTCCCTGATGTCACCAATGCTACAGAAGGCTGTTGAATACAGCCGGATTACTAGAAGGAGCAGTCAAAAAATGCACATGCTTCAGGAGTAGTTAGGAGACATGTTGTAGGAAAGGGAGATGGGAGGACATGTAACATTCCCATTCTCTGACCAACTGTCACTGATTTTGAGGGATTGTCCCTCTTTTGGAACTGAATCCCTTCTGCCCCTCTTTCTCATCTCTGAAATTTGAAGGGGGGTGGGTTGTTGCATAAGATTGGTCCAGATCACAGCCATTACATACCCTTCTCCAACACTCCCAGTGCTGGCTTCTGGGGTGCAAGGGCCACATGGTTTTAGAGTATGGAGCCAATACAATATATATTGGGGTGTAATGATAAACCATTCACCCTGCAGAACTCCATGCATGGTTGTGTGCAAATGAAGCCCAAAATGAATGTTCTTTCCAGTTTGAATGTACTATATGAAAAAATACCACATGATGGCCACTAGATGGAGCTGAGGAGCATGGGGAAGGATGTATTTATGCCCTATGCTCCTCAGTACCATCTATTGGCCATAATGCAGTATTACAGGACAATTGAAATATATTAGGATTGTTCGTTGGTGCGTCCAAGATTTGCAGGGCGAATTGTTTATAAACGGACCCCATAGTGTTTAGATCAATTGGAAAGGAGCAATCACTTTAACAAAAAATAAAAAAAATGTACAGTTCAATAGTTGCAAAATGTTACTATTTAGTTGGATAATGGGAAGATTCAGAATTTTTGTCAGATCTTTAAAAAGATTGCCTTGCGTACAGCCAGGAATGTCAGCTGTTCTGCAGAAAAATGCTTCAATGGGTGCAGCTATAACTACACGTTCTTGGGATCTCCAGTATGTTGTCGGTGTAGCAGATTAGCGAAGGGTAGTATGGGTTGGAGGGCGGCCCAGAGCGAGTCCCAGGCCAGGTAGCCAATGACTGACCTGTGAAAACACCAAACGCATAGTTCGCGTTGGTCGGTGTGACGCCTCGGGGAAAGAAAACCGCACATGCAATTTGAGTTCTGTTACATTCTCCTAGATTGCAAGCTCTCACGAGCAGGGCCCTCCTACATCCTCTACTCAAATTGTATTGTTAATTGTGTGGCCTCCCTCAGTTTTGTAAAGCGCTGCGCAAACTGTTGGCGCCATATAAATCCTGTATAATAATAATAGTAATCTCTGCTTCCATCCGTTCCTTCTCAGGAAGGGATAGGTGACTGGGTACAGCGCTGGGTCAAGGAGGGGGCACCCAAAGAGAAGAAGCTCTCCCTGAACTCATTAAACCATGCTAGGATGTATTAAATATAAATAACCCCAAGGTCGGGGGGTGTTTAGATGCATTGGGGGGCCATTAAGAAATAACGGCACTCTAGCGCACCGAATGGTGTTGCACAGATTCCGAAATCGCATAGGTGAGAAGGGGACACTGGTGCTTTCCTTTTAATAGTGTTTATAGGTGTGATTTGTATTCTTCTTCTGGGTGTTGATTTTTAAAGGTCTCCTATACTGCGAGCAGTGACGTCTCATTGCAATGTTGCCTATGAAGAGTCCGGAGGTGCTGAGCGTGCACAGAGCTAGTTGGGTCTCAGGCAGAGTAATCTGATGATCTTGTAGGTTCTATATTTATATCTATGACCACGGCTTTCCCTGAACCTTCAAGCCACAGACGGGCAGATGTCTCCTTGCAGACGGTGACCATCCTCGGACCCGTCCATCCAGCCCGATCTGTGGAATCGGCACACGTTGGGTTTAAATGGCTTCTTCCCACTTTTTAATGAGAAAAGGGGAATAATCCCTCAATCTGCATCTATAAACTTCAGCTCAACCAGTGAACTAATAATTGGGAGATTGGAATACACAGACAAACACACACACCCCCCCCCCCCCCCCCCCCTATCTGGGGAAAACTCTCCATTTTCTTCCTGTGCTGAAAAGATCCTGGAAAGTGTAAAGGAATGTGGAGCGAAGGGGGAGGAGGGATGGAATGTGTGGAATGGGAAGGATTGACAATTAATTTGTGCCTGTGATGGGGGGTGTGGGGGGATGGTAAAAAGACTCGACTGTTTTTAGCATAAAACTGATCATACACTTTAAGATTTTTCCAGTTTTAGCCCCATGGGTTGAATGAGAAAGTGGAGAACCCCCCCAAAAACGTTCAATTCCCCTATGCGTGCTAAACTGCGTGGATGGACGAATCTCACCTGCCGACTATTGTATTCTAATAGCAGGTGCCTACGGCTGTCAGAATACCTGCACGGCAACGGCTGATTAGCTGCAGTCACTTCTTTGGCTGACCATTTGACAAAAGCTGATTGAAGGGTTGACTTGTCTGCCACCTGTCCAGGATTCACCCGGACACTCCGGGTTTTCAATGCTGTGTCCAGGCTTCCTGGCAGCAGAAACCCGGACACAAGATGTCAGACAGGGGCAACCAAAAAGAAGATAGGGGCTACTGGCCCCCCACTAAATACTCTCGTCTGTGATATTTACACATGAATAAGCCGCGGCTCATTCTCCCAAAAAAAAAAGTCTGTGTGTCGCTAGAGTGTTCGGGTTTCGCTGGAAGAAAAGGTGGCAACACTAAGGTCTCGTTCACACCTAGGCGTATTGCATATGCGCGGCTGTCGTGCGTTTTTTTTACCGCGATTCGCGGTAAAAAAGTCACTCGACCGTCGCGCGTTTACGAAGGCTACTTGGCTGTATCCCAATGAAAACGCCCTACAAAACGGCCCAAAGTAGTACCTGGACCTTTTCAGGCGTGGGCCGTTTTGTAGCGCGTTAGGGATGGGCGGAAATACGCCAAGGTGGGAACGAGACCATTGAATACAATGGGATTTATATTTTTGAGCGTTTTGTAGAGCGTTCATCGAGCGTAGAACGCGCTACAAAACGTTCAGGTGTGAACGAGGGCTAAGGCAAACCCAGCTGATATCACTTTAAGAGCATGCTGGCCCCATATCTTCTTTTTGTCAGTAGACCCGCCCACAGCAAAGTGCCAAAAATCTTACACTGCATAAAAGTAAATTTCGACATCTTTTTGTGCTGTTTTCCTGTGAAAAGGCCTCCAGTAGTACGTACGTGTATTTCTGGACTCGTTGGCTTGCATTGTGTCCTGAGGGCGTTTTGTTTTTCTGCAGAAGCCCTTGACGTGGGTGGGTGGTTGCTCCAGGGTGTATTGTGTGTCTGCACTTGTCGAAGATTGGCTCTATTTTCAGTGGGGGGCTACTGGCCCCCCACTGAAAATAGTCTCAACTGTGATATTTACATATGAATGGGTGACGATATTTCTATATGAATAAGCTGCAACTCAGTCTCCCAAAAAAATGTCCTCACGTCGCTAACGTGTTCGGGTTTCGCTTGAAGAAAAGGTGGCAACCCTACTGCCGCCTGAGGATCAGATTTATTGCTGCTCAAGGTGCACTGCCGGGTGTTCTGGTAAAATCCTGGACCCGTTAGAATTTTGGATCCGCGCATTACTTCTGGGGTGTCGGCTACACACACAAGCTCTGAGCCGCTGATCTTGGCGGGGCATTGGCTTACCATGCAAGCTCTGACCCGCTGATCGGGCCTGTAAATTATCTGGACCTGCTTCCAGCACATGCGCAATACAGGCAAATAGCCTGTGAAATTTCTGGACCTAATCACCTCTCATGAGCTTGCGTGGACGCGGTCCAGATTTCTAACGAAGTCCAGGATTCTGTTACAACACCGGCATGTTCAAAATTAGCTGCTTTCATTCGCTTGTGTTTATCGGAATCTATAGTGTGAATCCAACCATAAGGGTTTGGGTGAATTTAGTGTGAATCCAACCTAACCATTTTGGGTAAATGGGTTTTTTCTTTCTTAAGGTTTTAAGTGCACTAAACTTGTGTTTAAAATCTGCAATATTGACTTGGTTCCGTTTTATGTGTACAAAAGAGAACTACAAAGCTGACCAAAAACTCCAGGTTGGCAATGGTGGAAAGTCCCGAGTATAATTTCCTCTTTTCTTCATCTGGGCAGTTTAGTGAAAGGTTTGAGAATCCCACAAGAACACACGCGGCACTCTGCTATCATACAGTAAATTGGTGATTTAATGTACCTGGACTAAATTCTTGATTGTCATAGGCGTAGCTGGCTTCTGTTTCCCAGCAGAGAGCAGATTTTCCCACAATATTGGTATGCTCTGCTAGGGGGATGCTTGGGAAGGACGTTGTGCTAGGGGAACACTTGGGGGGACGCTTGGGAGGGATGCTGTGCTAGGGGGACGCTTGGGAGGGATGCTTGGGAGGCACATGGCCACATGCCTCCTTGACCATCAACTGTGGACTTTCTCTTGACTGCAAAAAGAACCTTTAGCTTCACACTATGGTTAGAGATAAAGGGTAAAATACCTGTACTCCCCTTATACACTGACAGACCTATAATAATTGGCTGAACAAGGTTTGACAAAGATTGCATTATTACTTTGTCTGTATCCCTATTTTTTGTTTTCCCAGAACCATGGAGGCACCAAATTCTGGAATGATGATGCAGCCAGTTCATCCAGGATATCCGATGAATCCAGCTGGTAAGCCTCATTTTTAGCCCTACTAAAGGCTACAATTTTGGCATCTACGATCTACTGCATCTGTAAACTCCTTTATTCCCTACGTTGTAGCCTGGAAGGTCGGCTATTGCCATTTATTTCATCATGTTATAATTATTTGTGTTCTTGTTCCTCAGTTGGAGCAAACCCCATGATGCTTCAAGGACCAAATTACCCTCCAGCTATGAATCCGGTCATGGCTCCTGGTTTCTATCCACTAGTGAATACAAACGCCCTCGCTCCTCAGGCTGCCCCCTATCCCCAGTTCACCAACATACCTGGCTATGAAGGAATGTCAGATGATGGAAGTAAGTTGGCTAGATCTTTTTTTTTTTTTCTTTAGAGAGGACCTTCAGCAATTACACAGTCTGTAAAATAATTTCATGTTGGAAACTGCATGGGGTTTGTTATAGAGGCCAAAGAATAATTGTATGTAGACTACAATCAAGGAGCCCTGTCCGTGTTGGTTGAATAATGTATCCATTTTAAAAGGTTCAATCAACATTTCTCCATTCTAATTGGATGTATCTAGCCCAAGCCAAAGATTCTAAGACACGCTCTTCTTTAGCTCCGCCAACAGCTACATTGAGCATGGGCCTACCTGATTGTAGCCAAATTGAATCTAATTTTTAGGTCATTGTGGCAATATTTTTGGTCAGTTGAGAGGACATTTGTAGAAGTTCTGTGTGTGCATGGCCCCATTTAGAAACTGGAAGCAAAAAAAAGTTAAGCTGATTTGGACAATTTTACTTGCCAGTTAATCTGACTGAGTTGAAAAAAAAATGGTGACGTCGGTCACATACTTGGACCTTTTATCTGTCTCCTAAAAAAAAAATCAAGCTGAAAGCCCCTCCAGCAACCTGTATCTCCTACCTTCCCTTCGTTCAACTTTGCCATAAAAAAAAAAAAGTCTGTGAGACTCTCTCCATCCTCCAACACTTCCAGGAGCATTGCATGGCTGTCTCCCACTGTGAGCTGTGGTTCTTTCTCTGACCCCCTATGCCATCGTTGAGCCCTGTAGTCATATTACGGGTCAGATAGAAACATGGTGCCCTTTCAGGGTGGGGACACAGTCGTCTGACTCTCCCAGGAAGTGTCAAACATTGAAGATCCTTATAGAGGCTTTAGCAATGGAGGGGAGGTAGGAGACAAGGGCCACCACAGGGGTAAGCATAATACTAGGGATGCACCGATACCACTTTTTTAAGACCGAGTATCCCTACTCCTGGAAATTGATAAGAATGTAGAAGATCACAACTTCAACCTCAAGCAGGCAATAAACAAATGTTCACAGGAAAAATCTTTCCTTTAATAATGCCATCGGAGACTTGTACAATGACATTCGAAAATGCATTTGATTTTTAACGTTAATCTTATTTTTGGAAAGTGAGTTCCTCGAGTGAAGATCAAATTCACGGTTACGATTTTGTTCGTTCGGGTGAAATCTTCCATAATACTCCTTTTTGATTTTCTTCGTCATTATAGTCCCAACTATCTTTGATTTGACCCCAATAACTAATGGAAAGTTACACGAACGTTCAGAAAACAGATATCAACCTAACCAACCAAACAGCAGATACCAACCCCATCAACCCAATGGGGAAAATAACACAACATGGCTGAATTTTTCCTTTTGAGGGAGCTTTTTGTTTTTTGGATGTTTTATTTCTGTAAAGTCCCTCAGCTGACTGGTCAGGTTCTTCATCTTCTACAGATTTGTAGTTGCTAGTAGTATATAAGATTTGTAGTTGCTAGTAGTATATAAGACACCAGAAGAGTGCAGTAAAAAGACGCCTCAAAGTCTGTAGGCTGGTAGATTAACTTAAAGTTCAAGCACGTCCTATTGTATACCAATTCATGTGGAGGGGAAGCTGATTAAGCAAAAAGGGGCTACATACAAAACTGACTTTTTGCCTACAGGTGGGAAATTCCTTCCTCCTCCACCAGTGGTAGGACCTGGACCAGATGCCCTACCAACACCTTCAAACAAAGACTGGACGTAAGAGGCTTCGGTTATCTAAGATTTAAGTGTTGATTGCCTGATGAAGGAACCTTATTGGGTTCCAAAACATTGCTTTTAATCGTGATGCCGTGATTCTCCAATGTCCATAGAGACTGAATGATGAGGTGGAAATTGGTGTGCTGGTGACTTCTCTTTCTCATTTTGAGCCTTCCCCTCTTTAGTTGCCTATCAAAAGGGAACAAATTACAAATCCATTATGGGCTTTTGTGTCAATGACTAATCTCCTAGATGACCATAGAGTCGGATTCGGTGCGATACTTTTTAACTTGATGATGTGAAATCCTATATTATCATTTTCCTCCTCGGCAGGATTCCCTCTATTACCCAAGAGATGGCAAAACAGGCGCTTCTGGATTACGTCAGTGGCCAGTGCTGCTATGGCAGCTCCCCCGTCGAAGAGATGGAAATTCAGCAAATGAAACCGTTTAATACATACAGGGTGTGTACACTGCTGGGGGCCTTTACTGACAAACCAGGTCCATAGACTAATGCCTTTTGTGGACTAATTCAAGTGTTTTGTCTTCATTTATTGGTAGTATCGCTTGGAAACATTCACTGAGTCACGGTCCTGCGAATGGGTGACCAAACCCCTAACAAGTGAGTATTGTATTTATAGGATTTATGTATAAGAATTGTTTGTGTGATTTGGTCTTCAAGACACATGCTGACCTTTTAGTCAATCATTGTGCAGCAACTATGGGGGGTGAGTAATTAAAGTGAATGCATTCAGCCTTTTTCTTTGCCCCTGTGTACCCCCTGAGGGCACTGCTGGGATTCTGAATGGTTCTATGAGACTACTACATATCCTGTCTATTGCCATGCGCCTACACAATGTACTTTGTCAGTCATAGCGAACTGAGATTTGAACCTAGAGGAACCTTAAAGAGCAATGTCTAAGCAGGAAGCTGGGCCTTCACCTGTGAGTACATGACTCCTCTTGAGTACATGGTGATGATCTATACATGGAAATATGGATTGTGAAACTTTTCAGGCTGTTATTGCAATGCACATTTCCTATAAACAGTGCTGTACAGTAACGGCCAACACACAGAACACCACATCACACATGTGCGCCATGGAAAAAGTTTTTTGAATTTTTTTTTTGTCCATTGCTGCCTTAACTCGAACACAATTGTAGGGTGGTGATGCGGCGTTCCTGGGCCATTTGTAGGGTGGTGATGCGGCGTTCCCGGGCCATTTGTAGGGTGATGATGCGGCGTTCCCGGGCCATTTGTAGGGTGGTGATGCGGCGTTCCCGGGCCATTTGCAGGGTGGTGATGCGCAGTTCCCGGGCCATTTGCAGGGTGGTGATGCGGAGTTCCCGGCCATTTGTAGGGTGGTGATGCGGAGTTCCCGGGTCATTTGTAGGGTGGTGATGCGGAGTTCCCGGGCCATTTGTAGGGTGGTGATGCGCAGTTCCCGGGCCATTTGTAGGATGGTGATGCGCAGTTCCCGGGCCATTTGTAGGGTGGTGATGCGCAGTTCCCGGGCCATTTGTAGGATGGTGATGCGCAGTTCCCGGGCCATTTGTAGGGTGGTGATGCGTAGTTCCCGGCCCATTTTTAGGGTGGTGATGTGGAGTCCGTGGACCTGTGCCAGACTTGGAAACTACAATCCCCTTGAGGTCGGACTATGTCATTTGCAAGACTTTTAGCAGTCACCATTTCCTTTTTGTATATACCTGAAAGCCAATAACCAGAGCAGGAGATTAAATGTAAAATGGCTTGGGTGGTAATTGGATAAAACGTGGCATTTTCATAAACTTCAGGATCATGAGAATTGCCTCAGAAATGAAACCGGAAATAAATTTTCTTCATCTTTCTTGTAGACGACAAGCTTGATGGACCATCCAATGGGCCGGCTCCTCAGCCCTGGGATATCATACTGGAACCTCCTGCCCTCTTCCATGAAGAAACCAAAAAACAGTCGATACCTCACACCTCCTCCAAGAAGGTAATGGCTCTTTTTATACCTAAATCATCGCCTATGGCAGGAAGGTACAAGTAGCAATGTGTATAAAAGCTGATCAAGAATGGAGCATGCCAACTAAAGTTTAATAGCTCCAGTTTTATTTATTTTTTCTGCCAATGTGACTGGTGACCCCCAAACTGGTTGGCTACTCCTGGACCTAATAAACATGGTTGGCGCTCTCATTCCCTGACCGTCTTTTTGCATTATAAAAGAGTCCTTGAAAGCTGCACAACACACATGTGGGAAGTCCTGCAGGAAACTCGGGGCAAATTAAAGTGACCCATCTATCTTCTCCTCCAGGAATGTGAGGAGTGCCACGGAAAGGGGAAGATAATCTGTCAGAAGTGTAATGGAAATGGACGGGTAAGTTGCATCTAATTCATGTTTCCATTTTCTCCCATCCCTAACCTCGAGGGGGGTAAATAAACTGTAATCTTCATTGTATTCGTATTCACATATTGTATCACTGAAACCCCTCAACCTAACCACTGAACCTTCACATTCTCACATAATTCATTCCCACAGCTACCTCATGTATCATTTCCCCCTCCTCTTTTAGATTGTAAGCCCTCAGGGGCAGGGCCCTCCTTACCATCTTGTCTTGAATTGTATTGTAACTGTAATGTCTTCCTTATATTGTAAAGCGCTGCGCAAACTATTGGCGCTATATAAATACTATGTAATAATAATAATAATAAAGCCTAAGAAATAGAATGGATGTAATGCGTATAGTGGCACGTCACGCAAAGGGTTAGGACCAGTTTGATCGTTGTAGCTATGTGTCTACGGTACATTCCACCTCCCTGTCCTGTCACACGACTTTGAAGGGAAATCTCACCAATGTCAACACACACCCTGTGATACTGATATATTGGGTAGTTCTTACAGCTGGCCTCCAGCCTTCCCTTCAGTCCTGTACAGTTGCACTGGCTCCTCTCCTGGATGAAATTGCTTCCTCTGATTTTTCTTTCCATTTAGGTCAAATGTGAAACCTGTAATGGGACTGGCCGCAGTGCTGGAGAAGAATGTTCGAACTGCATGGGAACCATGTCACAAGGGTAAGCGTTAGGACAGGAAGCGTTGGGAGTACACATGCTCTTGTATAAACATTGTGCTTAAAGGTGACCTCGGTATATCTAGTGAAGAGGGTTGGGACGTGGGCCATGCTGCTCCTGGAAATGTAGCGTCTATGTCCGTAATCACTCTTGATAATGTTGCTGTGACTTTTTGATCTTGTATCTTTTTGTAACATGATTATGAAGGAATCCTAACGGGAGACATGGAAGTTTCCTGCAATAGTTGGTATACTCTTTGGCCTTTGTTACCTTCCCTATATTCAGCACTGCAGCCTCTGTCCATGTTTTCAGCATTGAACACTTCTAGGAGTGTTTTGGTTCCTGGTTTCCCCCCCCGTTGCAGGCTGTGACTTTATCCTCAGACAGCACACACACACATCTCTACATCACTGCTAAGCCCTTTAGTGATGTGTAGAGGATCACATGTAGGATGCGGCATGGTAACGCGGGCATCGGACACTCCCAAGATGTCTGATCCTGAAGAGCTGCAAAGTTGGAATGGAAGAGGAGACCTGGGCTGCCGGATAGGCAAGTATAAAACTTATATTGCAGGAAGCTTCCATTAAGATTTATTGAGCAAATGACTGAGCCACTGCTGATCTCTCCTTCTGGAAATATGTTCTTGGTGGGAAAGCCATTGAACCAGTGGCGGAGCTAGGGAACAAAGGGCCCTGGTGCAAGATTTTTTTTTGGGCCCCCCCCCCCCCCAAAAAAACCACAAACTCCACTGGCCGGGAGTGTCGGATGAACGGATGATCCGACACTCCCGGCGGAGAGACCAGGGGCCCGCCGGGCGCTGGATACTGATCCGGCGGCCGGCATCTTGCTTGGGCCCCCCCAGAGCCAGAGGCCCCGGGCGCCCGCACCGCCTGCACCGGCGGTAGTTCCGCCACTGCATTGACCCAACCAGTATTTGGACCAGGAGCTCGGACTTCATCTCTTCCTGCCTTCTGCACCTAACCATTGATCCTTCCTCCAATGTGGTGAGCCAGTAGCTGGGTGTGGAA